ATTTATTTTTGATTACTGTTTTTATTGTATTTTAATTGGTTTTTATTCTTATTTATTGTAAGCTGCCCAGAGTTGCTCGTTGAGTGAGATGGGTGGTGACTAAATTTGAAATTAAAATTTTTTTTTTATAAATTATCCATTTAAGGTCTATGTTAACTTTAAAAAAAATGGGAAAAGAAACAGATATGGCTGGGTTTTATAAGGACTCAGCCCCACACAGTTTGTAATAATTAAAGATAAAATGATGGAGGTGATGAGCTGAATTAAGTAGGCTGGGGCAGGCTTGATGCTAAATGATCTTTGTTGTATCATGGATTATAAAGATGTATGGCTGCTCTCTCCTAGATAATATAAAAACAAGCTTGTCACTAGATATAATCAGAGCAGGTAGAGAAAACCATGGCTTATAATAGCAAAATATATTATGTGTTGGATTGTGGTAGCAAAAAAATCTATTACATTCTTATTAGAATATGGTCATGCTGGAATGGATTGTTTCCTGTTATAGGAGGTCTATCAGGATTACATCTTCCTATGAATTGATCAAATTAGCTTATTACAGTGAATTGAAATACAAAAATTGTATCATAATATTAATATGCTGTTTATCTCTTCTATAAGGCAAGGCAAGGCAGGGCAGGGTGGAAAAGAACATGATTGGAGAGGTGTAACATTTTCTTTATATTCCCCACCTGGTTTCAGCATAGGAAATCATTCTTATAAGTAATATAAAGCTCTAAATGCACTTCCTTCATTCACATATGTCAGACCTTATATTAAAGGGTGTTGACATCTAGAAATGTGGTGTGCTATGGTCACCTGAAGGGCTGAACTGGATTCCATATTTACAGTACTGTGCAAAAGTTTTAAGCAGGTGTGAAAAAATGCTGTGAAGTAAGAATGCTTTCAAAAATATATATTGTAATTGTTTATGTTTATCAATTTACAAAATGCAAAGAGAGTGAACAGAAGAGAAATCTAAATCAAATCAATATTTGGTGTGACTACCCTTTGGCCTCAAACCAGGATCAGTTCTTACACTTGCACACTTTGTACACTTGCACACTTTGTACACTTGCACAAAGTCAGGGATCTTGTAGGATTGGAGTCAGGTGTATGATTAACCAATTATACAAAGCAGGTGCTAATGATAATCAATTTCATATATAGGTTGAAACACAGTA